AGTCTCAGCTACTTTGGGGGCTGAGGTGGGAGGACCACTTGATCAACCAGGAGGTTGAGGTTACAGAAAGCCGCTACACTGTAGACTGGGGGACAGAGCATGATACTGTCTGAAAAAGTAAAAATAATAAATAAATATGACATTGGCTGGGCACGGTGGCTCATGCCTGAAATTCCAGCACTTTGAGAGGCTGAGGCAAGAAGATCACTTGAGGTCGAGAGTTCAAGACCAGCCTGGTCATCATGGTGAAACTCTGTGTCTACTAAAAATACAAAATAATTAGCTGGGTGTGGTGGCACGCACCTGTAATCCCGGCTACTTGGGAGGCTGAGGCAGAAGAATCACTTGAGCCTGGGAGGCAGAGGTTGCAGTGAGCCAAGATCATGCTACTGCATTCCAGCCTGGACGACAGAGTGAGACTCCGTCTCAAAAAACAAACAAACAAACAAATAAATAAGATATTTAAATAAAGCATAGTATGTGGAAAGCTCCCAATAAATTTTAGATCTTAATAGTTCCAATTTACAGCTGAGGAGACTCTGACTTAAAAGATAAATACTTAGGGCCAGTTTCGATGGCTCACACCTGTGATCTCAGCACCTTAGGAGGCCAAAGCTGGAGGATTGCTTGAGGCCAGGAGTTTGAGACCAGCCTGGGCAATATAGAGAGACCCTATCTCTATAAAAAAAATTTTTAAATTAGCAGGGTGTGGTGGCACGCTCCTGTAGTCCAGCTACATGGGAGACTGAGGTGGAAGGATTGTCTAAGCCCGAGAGTTCAAGGTTATAGTGAGCCATGATCACACTACTGCACTCCAACCTGGAGAACACCACAAGACTCTAGCTCTAAAAATAAATAAATAAGTAAATAAATAAACAAATAAATCATAAATACCTTACCCAAGATCACAGCACTAGCAAGTTCTGAGTCTGAGATCTGAACCCGTGTCTGTCCGACTCCAAAGTCCATGTTAGCTTCTATGTTCTTCTGTTTGTACATCAAAGTTAAAGGCATAAGTCTCCTTCTGTGTTGACAGTAATTCATTTGATTTTATGTTGAGACTTGGATCAAATACACTTAGAATACTGATGGCATTCTTAGCCTCTAAATTTTTCTACAAAATCAATATGATTACGTAAATGACTTACATAATAGGAAAATGTTCAGAGGATAGCATTTTGTATACTAAGAAACATAAAAAATATATCTGTCATTACAAGTTCTATATAATTACATTATAGAAAGATTAGAAAATAGAGAACCACAAAAGAAAATTCAATCCCTATTATTACCGCTGAATCATGCAACTGCTTTCACTTTTGCTTGTTCATTTCCTGGGCTAGTCTAGTGGCAGATATATTTTAGCAGAGTTGTAATCATAGCATACATTCCATTTTATATCCTGTTTGGGTTGATTGTTCCAGTGACCCCTTTCTTCTCTGCAGTGTCCCATATAGTATGTGAGGCATTTCCCACATTGCAGCCTAGGGAGAGGTGGTTCTCAGTGCCTTTGAGTAAGGAGCCAAGATTATCAGTGCAGTAGTGACCCTTACGTTCCAACTGGTTTCATGAGCAGCCGGAACTCGTGCCTATAGGGAAGAAGATGATGGGCAAGTAAAGGAGGAGAAAGCTCTTCACCTAACTCCATAAAATATGGGGTAGAGTGGGGTGGGGTGGGGGCAGACATTTTAGGGAACTGCGCAACAGAGCAACACAATTAGGACAGAAGCAACCTTCTTTCCTTGCTTCCCCATGGGTCATTGTGGGAAGATGGTATGTGGGTGTGCCCTCCTTGTGCAGTTGCCAGGCACAGAAATCAGGAGGTCTGTAAAGCAAACGTCTGTTTGGCTAAAGGTACCGAAGGGTGGCAGAATCGGTTGTCCCCAAATATGCCCTTTTGGCACAAGGATTATTTTGAGCTAAAGGCACTTGAAAGTAGCAGATGCATATGAGGACACAAAGGCATAAAAATAATATAACGGACTTTGAAGACTCGGGGGAAGGGTGGGAGAAGGGTGAGGGATAAAAGGCTACACATTGGGTGCAGTGTACACTGCTCGGGTGATGGGTGCACCAAAATCTCAGCAATTACTACTGAAGAATTATCCATGTAACCAAACACCACCTGTTCCCCCAAAACTGTTGAAATAATAATAATAATAAAAAGAAAATAGGCCGGGCGCGGTGGCTCAAGCCTGTGATCCCAGCACTTTGGGAGGCCGAGACGGGCGGATCACGAGGTCAGGAGATCGAGATCATCCTGGCTAACACGGTGAAACCCCGTCTCTACTAAAAAATACAAAAAACTAGCCGGGCGAGGTGGAGGGCGCCTGTAGTCCCAGCTACTCGGGAGGCTGAGGCGGGAGAATGGCGTGAACCCGGGAGGCGGAGCTTGCAGTGAGCTGAGATCCGGCCACTGCACTCCAGCCCGGGCGACAGAGCGAGACTCCGTCTAAAACAAAACAAAACAAAACAAAACAAAACAAAACAAAACAAAACAAAACAAAACAAAAATAGAAGATGCAAAAAGGGAATCTTAATCTTTTTTTCTTCCTGAAAACAGGAGATAAAAGTCCCATGTGAAAGATGCCGTCCCTGTACCAGGAGAAGAAAAAGCATTCTTTGACAGGGGTCATAATCCTCTATAAACAGACCTTGCTAAAATAACCCTTATCCTCCTTTGCCTCCACACATAATTTAATGTAATTACTTTTCTACAATTGCACTCTTTGCTCATCCTACTACATAAGCATTTAGGTTTCGGCACTTCTTCAATTTTCTATAGGGGCTCCTATATGTAAAAATCTGTATGTTTTTCTCTTGTTAATCTGTCATAGGCCAATTTAATCCTCAGGCCTAGCCAAAATCCCTAAGAGAACAGAAGTAAAGTTTTGCCTCCCCTATAGTTTCTGGTAGTGAAAATGGGACCCTAGAAGGCTGGGATGCGCCACTCACTTCAGAGCCTGTGGGTGGGATCCCGGAAGAGCTGACAGAACCTGCAAAAGGTAAAAATTCTTACCAAAGTCAGCTCCCCCACATATCTACCTGAAGTGCCCTGTGGAGAGGAGAACGTTAAACATTTTACTTGTCTTTTCCTTTCCAAATTCAGATCGGCAGGAGAAAAACATTTGTAAGAATGAGTTCTTTGAATTGTCACTTTTATAAATTTGGTCTAGGTATGATCCACAGCCTCCCAGGAATAATAAAAAGTCCTTGTGTGCATTGTCGATGTCGTTTGTGTTGTTTGTCACAAGGAAGAAAATCGTAAGATGAGATTCTTCTTTCGTTTTATGTCCCGAGAGCCTGGTTTTAAAATAGTCTCTCCGGTCTTCGCCGCCAGGGGGCGCAAGTGTTGCCGGTTTGCATCAGGGGGCCCGCCTGGAACCCAAGTTCTAAGATAAGCAGCATTTTCGTCCGACTGTGCCAGCTCTCAGAGAAGTTTGTCTTAATAAAAGGTCCCAGTCCATAAGAGGCGTTTGTCATCTGAACTTTCATTGTCTTTTTTTTTTTTTGAGACACGGTTTCACTCTGTCGCCCACACTGGAGTGCAGTGGTGTGATCTCAGTCACTATAACCTCCACCTCAATAGGCTCGAGTGATTCTCCTGCCTCAGTCTCCCGAGTATCTGGAATTTCAGACATGCGCCACCACACCTGGCTAATTTTTGTATTTTTTGTAGAGACGGGGTTTCACCATATTAGCCAGGCTGGTCTCGAACTCCTGACCTCAAGTGATCCGCCCACTGCAGCCTTCCAAAATACTGGGATTACAGGCGTGAGCCACCGCACCCGCCAAAATGGCTGCATGGCTTGCATCCTCCTTGGGGATGCCTCTTGCATCCGTCGTTAAGTGATAAAAGCCTTATTGATTTTAAGCTATAAAAACTTACCGGTTTTGAGTCATAATTAAGATAGGTACAGCTTTGAAGATTTGAACTTTTATATCTAAAAGGATTTTGTTTTTAAAGAAAGCTGTCATCCTAAACAAATGTCTATGGAAAGATGAGATCGAAAGAAAATATTAATAGGCAAAAATGAGAATCAACTTTTACCAAAAGTATTAAATTTTGTGTTTATGTATACCTAATTCATGGCTAAGATTTTAAATGAAAATTTTAAGATCTGTTTGTGCCTGTCTCTTTGTTTATGCCTATGTATGTGTGTTGTGTATATGTGATATTTCTCTACCTCCTGATGATATTGCACCGCTACTTGATAGTCTAATTCAGAATGTCTGGGGAAGGACCTTAGCATCTGAATTTTTAAAAAGCATGCCAAAGGATTTGGACAAGCAGCCAAGATTGGGAACTAATTATCTGATTAATGAATGACATCTCTAATTCAATTACCTCTAGTGCACAGCCCCTTTTCTTATAGCTAAAAATGATTGCTAAATCCACACTGTAATAATTTTTTCAATGTATAAAGATAGACACCCAAAAGAAATGGAACAAGAAACCAACAAGAGCTCAAGGGAATTGTGACTCCTGTGGGCTGTTGAGGGAGACAGCAGGTCAAAAATTAGCAGGAACTTGATTAGAACGATAGCAACAGTATTGGCAGCTAAATTAATAACAGTGAATCCAGCAGGAATTTCATCTCGGCTGCAGTGACAACTATTAGGATTATGTAGGCTACTATAAAAATTAAAAGAGAAAGTCAGTGAGATGCACCGTTTAATTTCCTTTCTGGCTCTTTCACTGTTTCTTTTCATTTTGTTTTTTCCCTTTTCCTTGCCAACAGAAAAATATTTCTTGAGTAACTCAGGCCTACTGTACGAGGTAACAATTCTCTCCTCCCTTTCCATCTTCTTCCTCTCCAGTTCCACTCCCGAGAGAGTAATCCTTAATAACAGTTTGGTGTGTATCCAAAAAAAACTTTTTTGTAGCATTGTTCTCCAGAGTGTTTGAAGGATTTCTTCTAATAAAGTTTCTTTAGTCTTTAGCCAGAACTAGTCTTTGACCCACTTACTCTACTGATAAGCAGGAAATAGCACTTTTTTTCCCCCCTTGAAGCTAGAAAGGCAGGCCTAAAGTGAGTAGGAGCATTCTGGGAAATGGAAACTTAAAAAAGGCGGCAACCTTCTAGTTTCATTCTCAGAAATACCAAAGCAGTCTTTTTCCTGGGCTTGTTTTTCTGCAGAGAGCTCAGATTTGAGAGCCATTTCTAGCCTTTGAGGGTTACCACTGTCCTCAGCCAAACTGCAGGGACTCCTAAGTATATCAGAACTCCTGAAACTTTCTCATCTTTTCAGCATCTCAATCCTGTGGAATCTTTTAATTCGCAAGGTAAGTACAGATTGTCCGGAGAGATCTGAGCCGTGCCTATTCAACGGAATGCAGAGTCTCTCAAAGAGACCTCATAACTCTCAGATGAAAATCCCCTCTGTGGCTGTAGACTCTTCCAGACATACCCACTTTAAGCAAGAGAGGACGAAGTAGACACTTCACGTCTACACTTTTAATAAATAAATGAAATCGACAATGAGAGGAGCTGGCCCTTAGACTGGACTCACCTTGTAGCTGAGGCCTGGGATGTAGGACTCCAGCCCAGAGAGTCCCGCATCCTGGCTGGGCTGAGAAAGAGAGATGTAGAGGGTTCTCATAGTTCTGGGGAGCAAACCTTCAGATGAGACAAGGGAGGAGCCTTGGGAGGAAGGGATGCTTGTGAAGATTCTTTTTTTTTTGAGACAGGGTCTTGCTCTTTCACCCAGGCTGGCGTGCAGTGGCGCAATCACAACTCACTGCAGCCTCGACCTTCCAGGGCTCAAAGGATCCTCCCGCTTCAGCCTTTGAAAGTGCTGGGACTACAGGCACTGAGCACGAGGGTGCCTGGCTAATTTTTTTTGTTTCTGTAGAGAGGAAGTCTTGCTAGATTGACCAGGCTGGTTTCAAACTCCTGACCTCAAGCAATCGTCCTGCCGTGGCCTCCCCATGTGCTGGGATTACAGGCGTGAGCCACTGTACCCGGCCGTGCCTGTGAAGATTCTTTAGCAGTTAGCTGATTGCTTCATCGCTATGAAAAGGGGTTTCTTATTTTGATTTTTCTTTTTTTTGAGACAGGATCTCACTCTGTCACCCAGGCTGGAGTGCGGTGATGCAATCGTGGCTCACTGCAGTCTCGACCTCCCCAGGCTCAAGTGATCCTCCCATCTCAGACTCTCTGGAGGAGCTGAGACTATAGACCAGGCACCACCACACCCAGCTAATTTTTTTGTATTTTGTAGAGACTGGATTTCCCTGCTCAGACTGGTCTCAACCTCCTGGGCTCAAGCAATCTGCCCACCTTAGCCTCCCAAAGTGCTGGGATTACAGGCATGAGCCACTGAGCCCAACTGTGTTTTCTTGTTTTTCATAATATATATACTGTTTTGTTTTTAGAGAAACTTAAGCTGTGTTGACTGGGAAACTATGATCTAGTTGGATTGAGATGTAATTTTTGCAAGTGTGTCACTGCATTGGGTTATGTTGTTTACTGACATTAATTAAAGTAGATACTTGTGAAAGCCCTATGTGTTCTGTCTAGCTATGTTTTTACGTATGACTTTTGCTTGCCTGTGTTTAACAGAAATAGACCCATGTTTTTCTTGTTATCAAATGTGTTTTATAAAATAAATGCTATCACAAATACCAGGGAGATTATTCCAGAACGGTTATTCTTACCAGAGTAATGAAAACTCTCTTGTCTTCCAAGAGGCCTAATAATTTGGGAGACCAGTTTGCACAATGATTAAGAGTCTAGATTTTAGGTCGGGTGTGGTCGCTTATGCCTGTAATCCCAGCACTTTGGGAGGTCAAGGTGGGAGGATTGCTTGAGCCCAGAAGTTTGAGAACAGCCTGGGTAACATAGCAAGACCCCATCTCTACAAAACCAACAAACAGAAAAACTAGCCAGGGCCGGGTTTGGTGGCTCATGCCTGTAATCCCAGCACTTTGGGAGGCCGAGGAAGGTGGATCATTTGAGGTCAAGAGTTTAAGATCAGACTGGCCAACGTGGTAAAACACTGTCTCTACTAAAAATACAAAAATTACCTGGGAGTAGTGGTGCGTGCCGGTCATTCCAGCTACTCAGGAGGCTGAGGTGGAAGGATCACTTGAACCCAGGAGGTGGAGGGTGCAGTGAGCCGAGATCCCACCACTGCCTTCAAGCCTGGGCAGCAGAGCGAGAATCTATCTCAAAAAGAAAAACGAGAAAACTAGCCAGGCATGGTGGCATACACCTGTAGTCCCAGCTACTTGGGAGGCTGAGGTGGGAGGACTGCTTGAGTTCAGGAGCTGAAGGCTGCAGTGAGCTATGACTGCACCACTGCACTCCAGTCTGGATGACAGCGAGACCCTGTTGCTTAAAAAAAAAAAAAAAAAAAAAAAAAAAAAAAAAAAAAAAAAAAAAAAAAAAAAAAAGAGAGATTTTTTTTTTTTATAAAAACCTTTTTCTTTTTAGAATCAAATACTCCTGGATTTGAGCCTCACCCATACGACTCTGAATATGTCCCCCATCCTCCGCTTCCTCCTTGATAAAATAAAGGTAACAGTATTTGTTGTGAGGAATCAATGAGATTATGTATATAAAGGTTTTGGTACAGTTCCTGGCTCAATAAATGTTAGCTCTTTCAGCTCATGAGGAACACAAACATCAATCTTCCTACTCTGCCCTTTGTTTTTAATCTGGACTTGATTGATTTGATCTTCTTATATCAGAATTCTTGATTCCAGGCCTTGGTAGAGATTTCTGCTTCTGGCTGCTTAAGCTTTGGCATATATCCAGGTTCTCTCTCCACCTTTGGATCCTTTCTCCCTTTCAGTGTTTGGCTAAGCTATGGTTTTTAATCCGGGGTGAGAAGCAGTATCTCATAAACAGCTCCCACCAGTGACTGGGCCCATTCTGGTTCTTATCCATTGGATTGAGATGGAAGAGGAGCAATTAAAATAATAGACACGAATTGCCATCAATCGCCAGGCCGCTCGGCTTACTTCTAAATCTCTCTCAACTCTGCCGGCTTAATTCTAAATCTCTCTCAACTCTGCCTACTTCTCCATTGTCACCACCTTAGTCTACATCACCATCTGTTCTCATTTGGGCTGCTGAAACCATATCCTGAAAGGTCTTTTCCATGACTGCTCTAGCCTGCTTCAGCTAGAAAGAACTTTAAAAAACGTTCGTCTGATGCCGTGTCTTCCTGCTTAACATCCTCCAATGGCTTCCCATTACTTTTTTTTTTTTTTTGAGATGGAGTCTTGCTCTGTTGCCAGGCTGGAGTGCAGTGGGACGATCTCAGCTCACTGCAACCTCTGCTTCCCTGGTTCAAGTGATTCTCCTGCCTCAGCCTCCCAAGTAGCTGGGACTATAGGTGTGTGCCACCATGCCTGGCTAATTTTTTGTAATTTTAGTAGAGATGGGGTTTCACCGTGTTAGCCAGGTTGGTCTCCATCTCCTGACCTCATGATCTGCCCACCTCGGCCTCCCAAAATGCTGGGATTACAGGTGTGAGCCACCGTGCCCAGCCCTTTCTTTTGAGACAGAATCTCCTTCTGTTGCCCAGGCTGGAGTGCAGTGGCGTGATTTCGACTCCCTGCAACCTCTACCTCCCAGGTTCAAGCGATTCTCATTCCTCAGCCTCTCAAGTAGCTGGGACTATAAGCGCAGCCCGACTAATTTTTTTATTTTTAGTAGAGATGAGGTTTCACTATGTTGACCAGGCTGGTCTCAAACTCCTGACCTCAGATGATCTGCCTGCCTCGGCCTCCCAAAGTGCTAGGATTACAGGCGTGAGCTACGACGTCTGGCTGGCTTCTCATTACTCTTAGGGTAAAGCCAGGAATCCTTAAAGTGGCTTACCGAACAATGCACAGTCTGACACCTGAGCATCGTTCCAACCTCATCTCCTGCCTCTATCCCTCCAGCTCTGTGCTGTCAGTCTTTTGAACTTGACATACTCCTTCTTACTTCTGTCTAGAAAATTATTCCCACCCTTCTTCACCAAATTAACTCTTCACATCATTTGCATTCTTCAGATCCTAATTCAAATGTTACTTTTTCTGGAAATCCTTATCTGGACCCATTTCCCCTCCAACTGCCAGGTGAGGGCAGTGTTTCCACTCTAAGCTCCCCTGACATTCTAAACTTTTGTCCGTTAAGAGTCACTTGTTTACTGTCTACCTCCTCAAGAAGAGGGACCACGTTTGTTTTGTTCACCAATGTCTTTTCCAGATTTAGCACAGTGGTAGGCAAATAATAGATATCCAATAAATATTTGTTGAGTAAATGATTTATGACTATTATTTATATTTATGAATTGAGAGCAATTTCAATTTTAACACTTGAGATGTGCCCAGTTCATTAATATGCATCTTTTAAAAATAACTTCTACATGCAACATTGTATTAAGCATCTTCTTGATGAAACGTAATATAGCCTTTGAAACCTATAACTAAAAGCGTAATAACTTGGAAGGGTTGTAGCGGTGTTATGTGATAAAAGCAGAATATAAAATTCTGTTTATTTGATGCTTACAAATTGTGAAAGAATGTAATATTACTAAGACGATAAGAGATAAGGGAGATAAGGGTGAAAAGGTTATTGATCGTCATAATATTGTTTATACAATATATAAAACTGAATGTTGTAGCCTGCCATTTTTTGTGTGTCAAACAATATATATTTAATAATGTGATAATTATATAATTTTGAAGTTTTTTTTGTTTTTGTCTTTTGAGTTGTTTTTGTTTTTGAGATAGGGTCTCACTCTGTCACCCAGGCTTGAGTGAAGTGGCATGATTTTGGTTCACTGCAACCTCCGCCTCCCGGATTCTAGCGATTCTCCTGCCTCAGCCTCCCAAGTAGCTGGGATTATAGGCACCTGCCATCATGTCTGGCTAATTTTTGTATTTTCAGTAGGGGTGAGGATTTCACTGTGTTAGCCAGGCTGGTCTTGAACTCCTGGCCTCAAGTGATATGCCTGCCTTGGCCTCCCAAAGTGTGAGGATTGTAGGTAAGAGTCATGGTGCCTGGCCTGATTTTGAAGTTTTAAAAAAAGTTTTCCCATAATCCCAATGGAGCCAGGTACTTTATAAAATTTTTCTTGATAACGTCCCGGATGCTTTTTATTCTGTTATTGATTTATCTGCATTATCAATTTTTTATCAAACAGGTTTTGCTTTTGTGCCTTTTTTTTTTTTTTTTGAAATGGAGTCTCACCCCCTTTTGTGCAGGCTGGAGTGCAGTGGTGCCATCTTGGCTCACCGCAACCTCCACCTCCTGGGTTCAAGCGATTCTCCTTCCTCAATCTCCC